AAAAAAAAAAAATAAAAAAAAAAAAAAAAAAAAAAAAAAAAAAAAAAAAAAAAAAAAAAAAAAAAAAACACCCCACAGAACGAGGTTCTTACCAGGGAGGGAGTTCAATATCCAATTGTCTAAATGTTCTGGAAACAAATCAGGAAAGAGAGGTGCAAGAATCAATGATAACACCTGTATAGCTACAAGAAAACAAATTAACTAGAAAAGAGAAGACAAAATTCTTTGCAACTACCAGTGATCCGAGAACTCATTTTTGAAAACTACAAATACTGTATTTCCTGTCAAAGAAACATAACATTTATAATTTAAAGAGACCAGATAGAATCTACAGAGCAGCAAAAGGATATTTATAATCAATTCTACCTACCATCTTTAGACCTGTTCTCCACAAGTCTGGAAGAAAGAACTGCAGCTCCAGGGTGAAGCTGATGCCTAGCATCTCCTTCATTAGGCACGAAGTTGCTCTCGAAGTCCTGGCTCTGTGAGAGCTCTAGAGCTCCAAACTGCAGCTGTGACGTGCCTGTATCTAACACCGAGTATCCATTACAAATATATATACAAGACCCCCACAATTTTTAAGACCCATCTATCACATTTACAAGGGCAAAAGATATACCCTCTAACATGTAAAGTATTTAGGCTATTGCTGAAACTCTGAATAAACTAACAGACTCTGACCTCAGCTGTGCTAATTAAAATAAAGTCACAAAACAGGGACAGTGGCCATTAACTCAGAAATCGGTATTAATCAGCAATATCTTTTGTAATGCCACTAGGTACCGCAGCAGGTTTTCATACCATGATGAGAAAATAATTTTCATACTACACAGTCTGTGTCTGAAAGTCCTCTGATGATAACAACCACTATGCCAGTTCATAAAAAGGCTCCATTTCGTAACGGCTGTGATGCATCCCTGCTTCTTTTAAACCATTTCCAGTCTCCAAGATCCAAGTTAACACTGATCAACACTTTTTATTTCAAACACCAAAGCATATATACCAAATTCCGGAAAAAGATGCCAATTCCTAACCACAACTACCCCTGGTGAGGCAAGTGAGGTAGCTCAACTGAAAAACTGTACAGATGGTGGATCTGATTCAAAACCCCCAGAACAGATCTGAAATGGAGAAGTTACCTTCTGCACAGGGCGAAGCAGCACAGTCCTCAACATCACCTTCACCTCGTTCCCCGGCCTTTCCAAGGACACTGCAACAGAGAGACTTGCTCAGGTCGCGCAGGGGTTCCTGCAGGACGCCTTCTCGCGGCTCGTGCTCCGGCGGGGGCCGGGCGCGGCCGCAGCTGCACCGAGACTGCGTTCTCGGCCTGGCCTCAGGAGAGGCCCCGGAGGCAGCGGCCAAGAGCCTCGGGATGGCGGCTCCCACGGCCCCGCCAACGTACCTGCTCTCCCTGCCGGGCAGTGGAGCCTCCTCCGAGATGCAGCCCCGCGGGCCGGCGGCGCCCAGGCGGGCCGGGCTCTCCATGGATTCTGCAAGCACAGCGCCGTCAGTGCCGCCGCGGCCCCCGGGCCTGCCGGAGCCCCGCGCCCTGCCCTCACCTGCGGGTCGCTCCCGGTCCGCCCCGCCGCCCTTGGGCGCCCGGCTGCCGATGGGATCGCACACGATCTCCTGCAAGACAGAGGCAGGGGCCGCGTCAGAGCCGGGCCGGGGTGGGCGGTGCCGCCGCCGCATCGCGCACTCACCAGCACGGGGCTCGGGCTCCGCCGGGCCGGCAGCCGGCGGGCCAGCACACCGAGGCAGGCCTGCTCCGCGTCCGCCTCCGCGCCCGCGCCCTGGGGCTGCGAGTCCTCCACGATGAGGCGGGGTGTGTCCTGCTGCGAGAAGCCGGGGTCCAGCTGGCTGCTGCTGCTGCTGCTTCTGCTGCCGCCGCCGCGCTCCATGCAGGGCGCCGCAGGCGGCGGAGCCCAGGAGCCGGTGGGAGCCCAACTCGGCCCAGCCCTACGCCGCGCTTCCCGCCACCGCCATCTTGCCGTGCGCCAATTGGCGCGCGCGACCCGCCCGCCCCGCGCCGTTACCGGGGAAACGCGCGGGGGGATCGGCAGCGGGATCGACACGGCTCCCGGGATCGACACGGCTCCCGGGATCGACACGGCTCCCGGGATCGACTCGGGTCCCGGGATCGACACGGCTCCCGGGATCGACACGGCTCCCGGGATCGACACGGCTCCCGGGATCGAAAGCGGCCGCGGAGCGGGAAGGGCGGTGGGTTCGGCGCTGCGCCGCCCTCTCGGCCTCTCCGTGAGCACCCGGAAGAGACGAAAGAGCCCCGTGTTCTCCGCCCGGCCCGAGCCGGGGCTCGCTCGAGGGCGAAGGCGGCAACCGCCCTCCTGGCGCACACCGCGGGCCGGGGGGTTTTCTCGCGGTGCCCTTCAGGCCGCCTTTTCATCAGTGGTGCAAAACAGCTCCATGCTCGGTCTCCAGCACAGACCGAGCACCCCGTATCCCGGACAGCCACCGCCGGGTACCTCCTTTTTTTGGGTATCACAGGGGAGTGAAATCCCATTAATTTCTCTGTGTTTATATTACTAAACGGTTATCGAAAAAACCTTGCGTACAAATTGTGGCACCGTTGTTGTCTTGCAGCATTCAACTTCTTGCCTAAAAAATAGTGAGTTTGAATATGTCACCGAAAATTCCTGGGAAGAAATGAAACCCTCCAACGCTCCCTTGTGTTAGTGAGCCAGGCTTTACTTTATTCTGGCCGGAGATACGTAGTGAATCATTCCAGCTGCCTGTATTCTTTTCAAGACTTTTCGCGTATTTATACATTTTAGCAAATAAAGATATTAACATGCATTGGGTCTAAGTTACACCATTCTCTTCATTTAATTAGTATTCTATCCTTTATTGGCTAATATTTGGTCCGCATTCTTTGGTTCTCTTAATCATTCTTCCTTAGTCAGAGAGTTTCCAACTCTCAGGCTATATAATGTCTTTGTTAATTCCTTCTATATTTTCTGGTTACTCCAACATGTCTTTGAAGAACCACAAATTTAAGATCCAAGATGTCTGACCTTCAAGCTTTGTTTATTAAAGCCTATCAGAGCTAGTCCAAAGAAACTCAAAGCTTTGACAATTTAAAGATTAAACCGACAAGAGTCTGCAGGATAAAAAAAAGAATCTAGCTAACTGCTACCACTAATAAAAATTTTAGGAAAGTTATATCATTTGCAACAATTCCCCCCTTTGGAAGTGATCTTAACTATTTCTTTTAAGATTACTTCCACTTAACTCACTGAGTATTTAGCAAGATTTAAGACACTAAAATACAATAATCACTATTAATAATCTCCAACAAACAGACTAATTTAAATCTCCTTTTGCAAGTTCTCTTTATTTCTGCACCTCTCTATTTTATATATGAGAATTCTGTATATTCTATTTAAAACCCTGTTGTAGAACCAAAACCACAGAAGTCTGAAAAAATAGTACCTGGCCTAGAAGAAACTGTTATGCAACTTCATAGACAAAAAGTGAAACATAGTGAAACAATGTAAATATGAGTTTGCATTATAGATTTGTGTGTAATGCAAAATCCAAGTTTGCACATGCACGTTAAGAGCATTAAACAGACTACAACTATTTACAATTGCTACACAGGAGGGATGCTTTAGTGTTCCTTAGTGTTCCCAGAAGATGTTCCTTTGCCACATATTGAGCTGTGTTATTGAAATGTTGTCCTAGAAGTATGTGAAGACTAGAAGTGGCAAATATGCCGGTCACTCTCTCTCTCAAAATTCCCTTCAATTCCTTGAAAACTTTGATAACAAATCCTCAGGCAAATTACCATTTTGTATCTAGAAGACAACAAGGAGAGCAGTTAACAGCCAACACAGATCTCTAAAGACAAGGTGTATAATATCAATGTGATGTCAGAGCAACAGGACAGAAGTGGCAGAATAACTACTTTACCATAGTAAGACTTTTAGCAGTATCTATATGAGATTCTCATAAGCAAACTAGGGAAGCATGGCTGTGATGAAATGTCAGTAATATCCATCCTTGGAAAGTAATAATCACCAGTTCTGTGTCAAAACAAATACATTTGAGTGAGGGTTGAAACATCGATGTGTTTTTCCTGGTCACCATTCATGGTTTTCTTTTACCACCTTGGTCACAAAATAAGGAGTACGCTTATTAATTCACAACCATCCAACACTGAGAGGGACTAGAAGTAGTGGAAGGAAGTTTTTTTAAACGATCTGAAAACCAGACAAAGTACAATGCGGGTAAGAACAATATTCTACAAAAGGAAATAATGTACAAGTTCAGGATGGGGCTGCTGGACTCTGTGGCATTTCTGTAAAACAGAGCAATGGTGGTCACAGTGCCCGACAAACTGAGTCAGTGTCATGCTGCTGCCACAGGAAAAGGTGCAAACAGCAAGCATTATACTCGTGTGTAGAATGGATACATTAGAGGCATAAAATAATTCCTGTACTCTGCACTGGCAAGGCCTAAGCTAAACGCTATGTTTACTGAGAAGATTGCAAAGGATTTGGCTATCCTAATAGTTGTCAGAGAGAAAAAAGGGGATGGCAAATAACTTGTTTCTCTTATTCACAGTTTAGAGCAAAACTGTGAATTTGTTTTTGTGAACTGAAGTAGATTTAAATTAACATAAGACAAAACAGAAATAAGCAAAAATATTTAAAAAGGCTAAAGAAGTTCTAAAAATTATGCAATCTCTAACATTTAAGACTTTTTTTAAAGCAGTAGCAAAGGGGTATAGTTGATCTTAGTCTGAAATAGGAACTTGGACTAGATTATCTCTGGGGCTTCCTTCCAGTCTCATTTTTCTGCAATTCAATACTTTTGCATGAACCTGGGTAGGACAAAATTGAGAGCTCAATCCAGGTGCTCAAATTTGTAAATGCCAAATGCATGGCTTTACTGAACGGGGGAAGTTGTGAAAGACATGGTTATGGTGGAAAATATAGCATTATTATTTCTTTGCACTGCTCAGTAAGGCTGCTGGCAACCCACACAGTTTAGTCTGCAAAAAAAATCTTAGTAATATTCCGTTTGTGCTCATTTTTTATGCTTGTGCTTTGCCTGGCCATTTCAGCTACATTTTTTTGACTGGATTTAGTTATGAGGAAAGATGAAACAAAAAGGTAAGAATTCTGGCCACTTTGTACTTAATATTTAATTGATTAAAAATCACCTTGGCTTCAAAGAAGAATTGCCATTTAAGTATACTTTTATTAATATGGACATTTTTAGCTGGTGAGGACAGGAAGTCATCATCCCAGGCTAAAGGACTGAGAAACTGAAATTGTGTAGATTGCTCTTCCCATGATATGAAAGTCCTTTTTATGCTATTTTGATCCTACTTTCTAAATCCGTTTTTATAAAGATAATTTACCTGTGATTCATTATCCTTCACTCTTTGAGGTAGTCCTTTAGTCTCCTTTTGCCACTCTTCTTCTGTGATGTTTGTCGGGACCTCTAATATCTGCAATCAGCCCAGTCAGCTTTTGGTTCATGGGTGTGCCAGCTACTGCTGCAGTGCATGAAAGCAGAATTTTACACCAGAATTGCGATACAGGTCTATTATATGGTTCCAGAATGTGAATTTACAGGGAAAAGGAGGAACCTAATAGGCTGGAAATCCTTCACTTCACTGCCTTATGCAGTGCACACACATTAGGACTCAAGCCTATTCTACCGCAATTCCACGGTGACCACGGACCTCTGATGCACATCAGAAAGCAACAGAAATACCATCCTTTTATGACCTGATGGTACAGAACAAGAACGCAAATGGATCCCATCACCAGAACTCATGTTTTAATTGAAAGTCTTCCCCAGAGGTTCTAGTCTCTTTGTTTGGATATTCTTTTTAAGCTTTCACTCCAATTTGCATGTCTCCTGTTTCATTTCTTCTTGGCAGAAAGCCAGCTGGAGGAGCATCTCTGCACTGCAGTGAAAAGCTGCAGCTCTGGAAAGCTACCATGTCAAAAATAAGCAGCAAAACTGAATCACCTGAAAACAGAAGGTACTTCTACTAGCTGGTGTCAAAATATCTGAAAATCTTTCATTTTTGTGTTTTGTTGTCATGTTTTCCTTCCATGATCTACAATTCTACTGTCATAACGGAATTTAATGTATGCTGGCATTTATTTGCAGGTTTATTTGCTTTATTCACATATCTACCTGATCAGTGCAATCCCTGAGACAAACTAAATTGTTGCTGCTATGCAGGTTACATCACAGAAAAATAAATTAAACCCTTTTGAGACATTAATTCTGCATTTCATAAAGATCATAGCCAGTGGTGTCACCACAATTTAATGTGAAAAAGACCTATTGCATCATCTCCTAATTTCTGTTGAGAGCTAGAGCACCTTTTAAGATCTCAGTTTGAGAGAACTCTCTAAGCTAGTAACATCAGTTGTAGCCTGCAGAGATAAATATTCTGTATTTTCCTTCCTTTCTGTGGTGGTCTTGATTATGTTTTGTTGGAGTCCTGTGACACTATGGGTCCACATATGCTTGCCAAAATGCCGACTGTCAGAACCTTCTGAGATTTCAATTATGTCCTCAATGCAGGCTTGGTGTGTATGAGGGAGCAAAATCGGACAGGACTTATCTGCCCATCAAGTTCCTAAACTGTAGCTCTGGAAATCTTGGAGACTGCAGGGGCAGAAGGGTTGGGGGTTGCTTAGCTTTTGCATATAGAAACATAGAATCATCAAGGTTGGAAGAGACCTTCAAGATCATCCAGTCCAACCATCTACCTGAGACTACCACTGTAAGCCCTAAGCCACTAAGACCACATCACCCAGCACCAGATCCAAATAGCTCTTGAACACCCCCAGGGATGGTGACTCCACCACTTCCCTGGGCAACCCGTTTCAGTGCCTGACCACCCAAACAGTGAAAAAAAGTTTTCTGATATCCAGTCTGGATCTT